GATGTATCCGTTTGAAAGATTGTTTTTTCATCTGAAAAGAAAGGTGAAAAACAAGAACAAACCGGAAGGGGCAATCGTGAAGCAGTATGTTAACGAAGAAATTACGTACTTCACAAATTTTTATTTTGAGCCACATATCAAGACAAAAGCCAAGAGTTCTTCTCGGTATGGAGATGAAGATGAGATGATGTTTCAATTTAATCAAGTTGATGGTTGTGATATCCCGGCTATATTCAACCAAATAGGTAATTTTAAATTTATATACGTATATATAAATTTAATTAACCATTTTGCGGTTCTAATTAAAAGATATATACAATTGCAGGGAGATTGAGTGGAAAATCGAAAGAAAGATGGTTATCCGTCGAAGAATGGCGTCATGCTCACACATATGTGTTGTTGAATTGTGATGAAATTCGACCAATAGAAAGAGTATTTGACGAGGAGACAAAGAGACTTAATCCTGATATGAGTGATGAAGAATGTATAGATCTCAAAGAATCATCATTTGCGGCATGGTTACAAAATTATGTAAGTTATTACTAATATTTTACTATTTTAGGTATCTCATACTTATGTTTAATTTATGATAAATTATAAATCAAAATTAATAAACTTTTTTTAAATGTAGGTATCTCATTCTTCGGAGAATTTTCCTATTTGGATACAAGATTTGATCCGGGGTCCATCAAGAATGGTGAAATGTTGGCCAATTATGTTCACAAGAGGATACACTTTCCATACTTATGCTCATGATTCAGATCGAAAGACTTCCAACTATGGGATATGTGTTAAAGGAGCAAATTGTTGTGATGTGGCTGATGAACCAGACTTTTATGGTATCCTCCAAGACATCATGGTGTTAGAATACCACGGTTATATTGGTTTGAAGATGGTTATATTTAACTGTGATTGGTTTGATCCGACCATTGGAAGGGGTATGAGAAGAAATGGATCGGGCGGTTTTGATATCAACTTATCCAAGAAGTATTCAAAATACGATCCGTTTATCCTATCTTCTCAAGCGGATCAAGTATGTTATATAAGTTATCCAACGTCCAAACGACGTCGAGATCATTGGAGAGCTGTCATTAAAATTCAACCACGCGGTGTTGTTCGTGAAGAAGAAGGTTCAACCGATATCCCATTTCAAGAAAGACGCATTGATGATGATATTGGTCAACAATTCCGTATTACGTATTCACAGAACGAGCAACTTGTTGTATCAAATGAAGAGGATGTTGAATACGATAATTTAGTTGACGATGAAAGAAATGACGACATTGAAGATGAAGAAGAAGTTGAAGTAACAACCGATGAGGATAGTGATTAAATTTTATGTAATTACGAAATCTTAAAAAAAAATTAACATAGTGACGCATCTGCGTCACCAAAAGGAAATATAGTAACGCAATTTCGTCACTAACTTGAACAGGTGACGCAGTTTCGTCACCAACATAGGTGACGCAATTTCGTCACCCCGTTAGCGAAACGTCACCTCTGCCGTTACTTGTCGTACACGTGACACATATGGTGACGCAAGTTCGTCACTATTTATCAGGGTGACGCAAAAGCGTCACTAATAGCGTCTTTTTTTGTGACGATATTGCGTCACCCTGGTGATTTTACCGAGGTTAATTACTGCGATGGGTGACGAAATTGCGTCACCAAATGTTACGGGTGACGCAAAAGCGTCCCCACCAGCGTCTTTTTTGGTGACGATATTGCGTCACCCCTATGGGTATATATATGGTGTAACGCAATTGCGTCAATCCCACAAAAAGACGCCTTCCCTCCTCTCTCAAGCGCCTTCGGTAAAAGGTAATTTTTTTTTAAAATTTTTTTAATTTTTAAATTATAAATTATTATATTTATAATAATTTAAATTTTAAATAAATTACAGATGAGTCGTTCTTTCGGAAGGGGATCATGGTTATCAGGCGAAAGATCTCAACATCAGAGATCTCCGTCAATTGATATGGCCGAATCTCAACCGCAACCACCAACGCAGGTTACAATTGATAACGTGGCTGAGGTATTAGATAATCCTGCAAGAATTTTGTTATCGAAACTGGATCTGATAAAAAATCCAGGAACAAAATTGTAATTTAAAGTTCAATATTGTTATTTTAAATATTTTATTTAAATATAAAAATTTAATTAAAATTTATTAATATTTTTTAGGTTTGGTGTTGATGTTGAGATAACCACCAATTTATCAAAATTCATCAAACAGAATTTTAAAGGTGCTTATCTTAATTGGAGTACGATCCCACAACCTACCAAAGATTCGTGGTGGTTAAGTTTTGTGGTAAGTTTTTTATATTTATAAATACATATAAAATTAAATTTGATTTTATTATTTATTTAATTTTTTATAAAAAAATTTATATAGCAACAATGGCGTTGGGATCCTGAGCATGACGCACTTGTTCGGCGCAAGTGGAAGGAGGCTGTAATTCGTCTAGTGAAAGCCAGAGTTCACAAACTCAAACAAAAATGGCTTTCTGAACCCTATATGG